TATGAAACCTTGGCCAGCTGGTCAATTGTTGGTGAATCAGAAGATGATTTCTTGCTTTTTTTCCTCATCCAGTGGAAAGTGAGAATGAACGACAGTATGAGAAGAAAAACAATTACACTAATTATCGCTGCTATCAACCTTAAATTGCGATGTTTTTCATGTTTCTCACTTTTGACTGGGCATAGCGGTAGATGTAGCTCCGAAACACCTCCACAAAGGTTATTGTTTCCGGTCACTGCTAATTCACTTGCATTTCGAAAGATACCTTCCGTTGGTACTTCACCATCCAACATGTTGAATGATACATTTAAGTATTCCAAGAAAGAAATATTTTGCAAAACATCAGGAATTGATCCAGACAAGTGATTTCGTGATAGGTCTAACTGTCGAAGATCTTTTAGTGAAGCCAAAGAGGATGGGATGATTCCATGGAAGGAATTCCCCTGCAAATAAAGGTACTCCAAGCTTAAACATTTTCCAATTGTTCCAGGGATATTACCAGATAGATGATTATTAGAGACATTTAGCACATCAATATTTTTCAATTGGCCCACTTCATCTTGTAGACTACCACTCAATGAGTTGTGCGACAAGTCTAGTAAATTTGTTAATGAGGAAAGACTAAAAACCTCAAAGGGTATGGTTCCTCTAAGGTTGTTTCTGGAAAGGTCTAGAACTTGCAAATTTTGACACTTTCCAATACTTAGAGGAATTTTTCCTTTTAACAAATTTTGGGCTAAATTCAAAAAGTACAACAAACTGAGGTTGCCTATGATGAATGGTATATCTCCTGACAGCTGGTTTCCACCCAAATTTAAATATTGCATATTTTGAAACCTTCCAAAAGTGGATGGAATAATCCCCTCAAAACGGTTATTTTCCATACCCAAGAGAATTAAGTTAATTAGATTTCCTAATTCTACAGGAATTTGTCCTGATATTTGATTACCCCCAATATATAGTTGATTGATTTGGGAGGATAAATTGCCCAAGCAATTTGGCAAACGACCTCCAAACTTATTGTAGGACATACCTAAATGTTGCAACTTGCTACAGTTTGTCAATGATTTTAAAAACTCCAAATCCGTAGTTATATCGTCACCTAGATTGTTGTCAGACAAACCTAGGTAATACATGTCTTTTAGCTTCCCTAGACTTGGAACTTGTCCTACGAAATGGTTTTTAATGATATCAAGTGCTTGAAGGACAGACGCATTTGCAACGGAAATGGGGATTGGACCTGAGATTTGATTCCCGCCAATTGCAAAATATTGGAGATTAGGAAGGGTGTGGAACATGTTGGATGGAAGAGAGCCATTAAATTGATTCACTCCAGCTGAGATTAAAGTAAGAGATGACATATTGTAAAAACAAGAAGGAAATATACCACTCAATTTGTTGACAGCCACTACTATAATTGTCAAGTTTTTGAGGCGGCATATTTCTTGTGGAATATCTCCCTCTAAGTTATTAAAACTCAACTTGAGAACAGTTAGAGATGATAGATTCCCTATGAAGGGCGTGACTCCTCCGGTTAAATTATTCTTTGCAACAACAAAATATTGAAGCTTCCGAAGAGAGGCAATTTCAATTGGTATTTTGCCAATCAGATTGTTCCCAGTTAAGTGTAACTCTTTGAGATTAGAGCAACTGGTCAAGTTTGTAGGAATTTCCCCAGTCAATGTGTTATTGCTAAGAGAGAGTTGCTGTAGTCGTAACAATCGACCCAACTCCTGTGGGATTTTTCCGTAGAAGCTGTTGTTTGCGAGGTTGAGGTTTCTAAGAAAAGAGAGATTGCCAACTTGTGGAGATATGAGTCCATGCAACTGAGAGCCTTGTAGGTTCAACTCAGTGACTTTTTGATGCATGTGGCTGCATGTAATTCCATGCCAGTTGCAAAAGTGGGTAGAACTATTCCAAGAGACCAAGATTCCAGATGGGTCATTGGATATTGATTCCTTGAAATTGAGCAATGCCAAGTGATCAGTTTCATTTCCTGATGCAGAGGCAGTTGTTTCTGGGCCAAGCCAGAGTGAGTTCAAAGTAATCAAGAGAAGAAATAGATGAAGGCATGTGGAGCAAAATGCAGGTAACGTGAGTGAAAAAGGCTTCATATTTTGGTTGAGGAGCAGGAGGCCACTAATCGTGTGTTTTCTTCTGCTTAATAGCTATTGCGGAAAAACAGACGAGGCTTATTCCTTCCTTCTGTTACTCTGTGCATTTAAATACTTGAGGCAATAAAATCAACACATAATGTGACATCTTGAATTGCCACTACCAACAACAAAAAATATAAAAAGAGCATTCCATCTCAAGTCAATTGATCTATCTCGCTACCTAACACAGAGGCTTATTATAGTCAAGATAAGAATCGTGTGTGGACCAAAAAGCATGTGACAAGGAGCCGAGAGCTAAACAAGCTTTCAAAATCTTCTATCAATTCCAATGAAACTGTAAGTCAGTGCATGTCTGCTTCATCTTGATTATTATTTTGTGTATTTTGGGTGGAAGACTGGGTAAGGTTTACATTTCATGATATTTGGACCAGCTATTATTGTTACATTTTGAGTTATTTATGTCATTAAGTGGATCGAAAGCATATTGGAATGAAAGAAAGTGAGAATAAAGGAATTAACTAACTTATCCTCTCTTTGAATGAAATTTAATATGTAAATTGATCAAGAAAAAGATATGACTTAACAAACGTGAAAGATGTTCAATGAAAGCACAAATAGAAAACCAAAGTGCTAGATATGAACCGAAATAAATTACATCCAAACAGATACTATTCTGGTTCAAAGAGTAACATAATGGGGGGAATGAAAAAGCTATAATCAATTTTCTCACTCTCGTAGGATATAAATTAGTAGAAAGGAGGAAACTCTACATTGTCCTTTGTTGTTTTATGGCTACTCACTACTCAATTTACTGATTCTGCTAGCAACATATCCCTTCCTCATTAGATGTAGTTTTTTAGTAACATCCACCGTATATCCATTCTTGCTTTGGGCTATCCAACTTAACAAACAAGTCAAATCTTAAGCACCTAACAAAAGCGCGTGGTCAAGATATTGTAACGTATATTATAAGCAACTTGCTACAGATTATTTTTCCTTTTTTTTAAGGTTATTGATTCTTTAATTAAGATGTATTTGCAACACATTTGAATATTATTAGAGCATCCATGCTCCACGGAAACTACCTACCTATTATTACAGGTGAAGTTATGTTATATGTTCCGCATTTTTTATCTAGTCTAACAAAATAGGTCCGCTATCTCTTTCCTCACCTTACAAGGAATTGATTTGCCACCTTTTTTGTTTTTGTATTTCTTTTTCTACAACATGACATGCATGTGTTATAGATAGATAATGTTAACAATGATTTGTAGTTTTCATTTTTCAAACAGAAGTATGACAATATGATGTTTTGTTGCGATAGATACGAATCCTCTTATATCTTATCTTTAAGTGCGCATTGGTCATCCTTTCTTGCATTTTTTTTTTGTAACACATCTTCATCTAATACTCATGAAAATATTCTTCGGGAAAAATTCCTAAAATCTAGATGAGATTACTTTAGGAATCTTGTTTTTGTAACACATCTTCATCTAATACTCATGTAAATTTCACCTTGTGTATGTAGTACAGAAATTATCATGAAAATTGCTTATAAGCTAGTTTCAAATCAAAATCAGGGGTTCCATCCCCTTCCAAGATTTGCGGCGTTGCATGTACTTACCTCTGAAGAGAAGAAAAAAGGGTAACAAAATTCAAAGTAAACGGTCCAATCAAAGTAACTTAATTTATTATAAAAGTTAAGTAGTTGAATGAATTAATCTGAAAATACATAAGAATTTCTTTGTTGACTAATGAATAAAACTTGGTCTTTTCTCCCTCTTCTGTCTTTGTCTCTAGCTTTGCTTATTAGACTGTAGTGATGCCCTGGTTTATACGTTGTCTACCAAGTGAAGTCAACGCTTGTCTGCTTCACCATCCATGACTAGTTTTTTTTGTATATTACCTTGGCAATCGTTTCTTTTGGGGGTGGAAGAACCAAATATGAGGTTTTTTCCTAATGCTATGTGTACCAGCTGATATTGCTAAAATATGTAGTCATTTGTGTCATTATGTGGGCTGAAAGCATATTGGACACCTTACCACCACATGGAAAGTGAAAGGAATGAAAATTAAATTATCCTCTGTTTGGATGAAATCTAATAACTTATTTTTCATGTAACTTAATGGAGCATACATATAAAACAACTAAGCGTGATGATCCAACTATACGAACAAGATATTTACGGAAGTGAAAGATGTTGAATCTTAGGACAAATACAAAACCAAAAGTGCTAGCTGTGAACAGAAATGTAAGTTATATTCAAACAAAAATTGATCTGGTACAAAAAGAAATTTAACTCAAAAAAAAAAAAAAAATTCCTAAAATTAATTTTCTCGCTCTCTTAGGATATAAATTGGTAGAAAAGAGAAAATCTACGTTGTTCTTCTATGACTTGTCCCTGTTCCGCTAGCAATAATCGCTTCCTCATCACTAGATATAGTTTTTTAGTAACATGCTCCGCTCCATATTCACTCTTTCTTTTTGTTATTTCATTGTCCAATCTTAAGAAACTTGGAAAAGCAGCTAGGATATTTGTTACAACCAAGCCCAAGCGTAAGCCCAAACGTCCTCAATACTTGGACCAGTATGTCATCTGAGGCAGCCCAATTGGGAATACAATAGGTGTAGCTATCGTGGGTAGTAGTTATATGTAATAGGAGTCACATACTTTAGTTTGTTTCTGCACTATTAATTAGTGTTTTATTAATTCTGCAATTTTCAATTGATGTTTAAATAGTAATGAAAGAAAGTAAGAAAAGGCATCTGATTCAGTTGCAACAAACTTCTCTCCCTTCTCAATCTCTCTCCCTAACTTCTCTCTTTTCTGAACTTTCTCCCTAACATTTGGTGCTTTCATTGCACTCTTACCTCCCTTTCCAATGGCTGAAATTACCCGTCTTAAAGATGTTTCCAATAGGGTTGATTCCCTGCAACAGGACCTCAATCATAGAGTTGATGCATTACATCAACGTTTTGATGCTGCGGAATTATTACGTGAACGCCAGTATTTGAATCTTCAGGAATTACAAACAAATTTACAAGAATCCAATGCTCTTTTACATCAGGATTTGACGCGGCTCATTGCACTTCAGCAACAACATTCCCCAACGCACACCAATAATGCCAATATGAGTATTCTGGGTGCTGGCCCAAATCACAACGCCAATCATGCTGGATCTGACTCTAACCGAGCTCGCACTGTTAAGCTCGATTTCCCCAAATTTTCATCCGGAGATCCTACTTCCTGGGTTACTGCAGCTGTCAGGTACTTTTGTTTTTACAACATTCCTCCTCTGGAGCGCGTCCTTTTAGCTGCTATTAATTTGTTCGATCCTGTTTCTTGTTGGTTTAATGGTTCATTTCAAGATACTTCCTTACCTGATTGGGATGCTTTCTGTGTGGCCTTACAATATCGTTTTGGCCCATCTGAGTTTGATGATCCAACAGGAGCATTAGTAAAAATTCAACAGTCTGGCTCGGTTACTGAATACCAGGCAGCCTTTGAAAAATTGGTGAGCAGAGTCCCTGCAGTTTCGGATCCCATGCTAAGGAGCATTTTCATTTCAGGACTCAAACCTAAAATCAAACGTTTAGTGCTCACACACAGACCTCAAGACTTTCATGAGGCCTATGCATTGGCTCGGGTGTATGAAGACCATATCCATGATGAGAAACCTCAAAAACCATGGTACTCAGCCAACCGTGTATCCACAACAATCCCATCCCCATCACATCCTATTAACCCCATTATCCAAACACATTCAGACACTGCAAAACCTTTACCTGCTCTTCCTATTCGTAGGCTTTCTCAAGCTGAAAGACAAGAAAGAAGGGAAAAGAATTTATGTTACAATTGTGATGAAAAATTTGTCATGGGTCACAAATGCAAAGGGAGAGCAACATTACTATACCTGGAAGGACTAGATGATGATCCTAATCCTCCGGATGCTGTTTCAATAGACGAATCTTCATTGGACTCTGAGGTGTTACCTGAGATCAGTTTTAATGCCTTATTTGGCACTCACTTATCTCGCTCATTTCGATTACAAGGCTCTGTTGCTGGTCATGTGGTACATATACTGATAGATGAGGGTAGTACCCACAATTTTATTACACCAAGGATGTCCCAATTTCTCAATTTGTTGCTGCTGTCCACTAACCCTTTTAAGGTGCAAGTGGGAAATGTTGACACACTCATCTTTTTGGCAGTCTGTCAGAATATTCTCCTCTTGATCCAATCTCATCCCTTCACTGTTGATTTATTTTTATTAGAGCTAAAAGGGGCGGACATTGTTCTTGGAGTCCAATGGCTTTCTACCTTAGGTCCTATCCTAACTGACTATAAAGCTCTCACCATGACTTTTGACGTTCAAGGGACCCAAGTATTACTCCAAGGAGAGCATTTACTCCTGGCCCAACCTCTTTCCACAGCCCAATTGCATAAATTGATGTCCCAAGATTCAGTGGATTCTTACTTGATGTGCCTCACTACTCAAGCTTCGGATATTACAAATTCTGACACCACTTCACAATCTTCTGAAGTCCTACAGCTCTTGGATACATTCCAGGATATATTTACTCAGCCCACATCCCTTCCACCAACCAGACACATTGGTCACCATATTCTCCTTCAGCCAGATTCAAAGGCCGTGCAAGTACGTCCTTATCGTTACCCACACTTCCAAAAGAATGAGATTGAGAAGTTGGTTAATGAGATGCTGCAACTTGGTCAAATTCGCCACAGCCAGTCACCTTTCAGCTCTCCCGTGTTATTGGTGAAGAAAAAGGATGGTACTTAGCGTTTCTGTGTTGATTACAGGGCCCTCAATGCCATTACCATTCGGGATAAATTTCCTATACCCACCATTAACGAGTTATTAGATGAATTGCATGGTGCCACCATCTTCTCGAAGTTGGACCTCCGTTCTGGGTATCACCAGATTAGAATGGCACCAGAAGACATCCAAAAATAGCCTTTCGTACCCATCATGGCCACTATGATTTCCTTGTCATGCCATTTGGTCTTTCTAATGCCCCGTCTACTTTTCAGGCGACTATGGATGAGGTTTTCTCTACCTTTCTTCATCGTTTTGTAGTTATTTTTTTTGATGATATTTTAATCTACAACTCTACTTTCCAAGACCATCTTAACCATTTACATGCTGTTTTGTCAACTTTGAGGAGACATTCTTTGTATGCCAAATTGTCCAAATGTCACTTTGAGCAGCAAACAATTCACTTCTTGGGCCATTTGATTTCTGAGAAGAGGGTATCTCCAGATCCACAGAAACTCCAAGCGGTGGCTGCATGGCCACTTCCCACTTCCGTAACTCAAGTGCGTGCCTTCCTAGGCCTGTCTGGATACTACAAACGTTTTATAAAACATTATGCAGCCATTGCCAGTCCCTTAACGGATCTCCTCACTAAGGATGGCTTCAAATGGTCACAGGGTACCGAAGATGCTTTTAATGGATTAAAGAGCTTGTTGATTGCAGCCCCAGTTTTGTCTTTACCTAATTTTCAGGAGCTGTTCACAATTGAAACCGATGCATCAGGCATGGGTATAGGGGCTGTTTTACTGCAAAAGCATCACCCTATAGCATTTTATAGCAGGAAACTCTCACCGAAGATGCGCGGCAAGTCCACGTACATCCGCGAGATGTTTGCTATCACTTCGGCTGTGGCCAAATGGCGACAATATTTATTGGGCGTGCCTTTCACCATCTACACTGATCATAAGAGTCTACACAACCTCATGAACCAGGTTGTTCAGACACCCGAGCAGCAATAGTTCCTATGTAAATTACTGGGCTTCAATTATACCATCCTCCACAAATCCGGAAGAGCTAACAAGGCAGCCGATGCTCTGTCCTGACATCCAGATATCACTCCAACCGAGGATTCCCCTTTACTTGCTGCATTTACAGGACCATTGAGTGATTACAGGTCCGTGCTACAGGCTAAGTTACAACAAGATCCTCATGCTTCAGCACTTCTACAGGCCCTCAGCTCTAACCCATCTTCTCATCCTCAGTGGCGCATTAAAGATAAGCTATTATTCCATAGACACCGAGTCTTCTTACCCGCCAATTTTGCACTCATTCCTCATCTACTCCAAGATCTGCATTCATCAGTACAGGGTGGCCATTCGGTAGTCGGGGGAACATTGTTACGAATCAGCCAAAATTTCACTTGGTAAAAAATTAAAGAAGATGTCACTGATTTTGTTAAGAATTGTGAAGTTTTCCAGAAGATCAAACCTCCTAATCACTCACCTTTTGGTTTATTACAGCGAATTGCTCCACCAGATGAAACGTGGACAGACTTAGCCATGGACTTTATCACCCACCTTCCCCAATCTTCTGGATTCACTGCAATCCTGGTGGTTGTCGACCATTTTTCGAAAGGGGCCCATTTTTCACCATTACCGACCCAATACACAGCAAGTAAGGTTGCACTTGTTTTTTGGCGTAATGTGGGTAAGCTCCACGGCATGCCCCAATCTATCATCTCTGACCGCAATCCTCTGACAGGGTGCAAAGAACACAGGGTACAAAGATCACCGAGGACCTCCCTCTTCTGTCTGATCCCGTACTTCCAACCCCATCTCACACCGTTCTTTCGCCACCTAACACAAGCGATCGAATGGCTGGGACAGTTGACATTTTACAACGCCTCGAGGACGTGGCAGATTTTCAACCACAAGGGGATGTTACAACCAAGCCCAAGCGTAAGCCCAAACATCCTCAATACTTGGACCAGTATGTCATCTGAGGCAGCCCAATTAGGAATACAATAGGTGTAGCTATCGTGGGTAGTAGTTATATGTAATGGGAGTCACATACTTTAGTTTGTTTTTGCACTATTAATTAGTGTTTTATTAATTCTGCAATTTTCAATTGATGTTTAAATAGTAATGAAAGAAAGTAAGAAAATGCATCTGATTCAGTTGCAACAAACTTCTCTCTCTTCTCAATCTCTCTCCCTAACTTCTCTCTTTTCTGAACTTTCTCCCTAACAATATTCCAAAGGTCAATCTTTTGTTAAGTTCTTGTGCTATTGATTCTTTAATTATATTTTAATTGAGCAATGCCAAACAATCATAGAGAAATATAATACGAATTTCAACTAACAAATTAACTTTTTTTTTTGAAATGATTCTTTACATGTTATAATTAAGAACTTCTATGACCAGTAGTCAGTAGTCACGAGTTTGATACTCATCATCGCCATTCTATTAAAATCATTAATATGATCATTAAGTGATATTATATTTCCCTAACAAACCTCGTTCCTAATTCAGAGGCTGATCTGTTAAAGTGAAACTGCAATTTCAGATCGAATAACAAGAAGAATCAGGTTAAAGCATGTGGACTCAAATGCTTTGAAGAAGAGAAGGCTAATAGTATGTGTATGTTTTACGGATAGAGAATCTAAAATGATGATGCTGATATGAGAACCCTGTGGTTGAAACTGTAAAACCTTATTTGTCTCATGTATAATATTAAGTGTCATCTGATTTAATTAATAAAAGGGCATAGTGGTAATTGACTGTTAAGGAAGTTATTTATAAAGGTAACTGTTGATAGGTGCAGTTATAAAAAAAGGATAATGGATAGTTTTCTTATAAGGGGTCTGAGAGAAACTAACGTCCATCATTGTCTGCCCATGAGAGTTGTATCCCATCCCTATCAGAAGAAGATACAAGAAGAGAAAAGAGTCAAGACTCTGAGAAAAGGGGATTCTACCATTAGAGATCTTTCATAATTATGGATAAAGGTATGTTTATGTGAAACTCATGAATTCTAAAGATCATTTTCATGTTCTTGATATGAATGTTGTTGAACATGAATCACTGGTTGAGGATTACATGTGGTATCAGAGCATGTGTTTAAGAATTACGTTTTTCCATAAATAATTATGAATGAATTCTTAATTCATGAAAAGATAGGGTTTTTGAAAATTCTCAATCACCATGACTGTTGATTCCTCTGGATTTTATTATTGAAAATTCTTATTGGAAAGGAATGGGAACGAAATCCATGTTTTGTTATTAAATAATGTCCAAGTACTGTTGATATTGTAATCTTACACTGTGCATTCATATTTTGTTATGGACAAAGTTGCAATGTCAATCGAGTTTTATGGTTTTCGTATTATGAAAGAATGAATGAACGATTCTGTCGGTTTCGTTTTCTGGACTACGGTGCTGGATCGCGCCAACATGGCGCTGATCCGCGCCACTTCATTGGAAATTGTATTGGAACACCGGCGCTGGATCGCACGGTAATGGCGCAGGTCCGCGCCACTTTTCTGGATTTTCTACTGGACCACCTCACGGGATCGCGCGGGAACGGCGCTAACCCGCGCCAATTCTGTGGTCCTTGTATTGACAAAGTGTGTCACTGTCACATGTTTATTTCATTTTATGAATTATTGGAAAACGTGAAAGGACATTGATATACATGAAAGTTGGACAAAGTTTTGGAATTAAATATGGTAGATTTGTTAGTCACCAAAGTGGCCAAATCTTGAAGAGTTATTTTAATTTCAAATATTATGATTTTGTTTCAATTACCATGACTGTGATGCTATGAATAGTATAAAATAATTGTTCATGTTGTGGTATATTGAAGTTCATTATTATAGGACAATTAGGGATCAACCCAAAGGATGATTATTTGTTTTATAAAATGAACATGGACGTTGGTATTGTTGGTATATTTCCTTGCATTTGGACATCCAAAGATGAAAAATATTTCTGATAGGGGTATGCATCATTGCCAAATTATGTGAAATTTATATAGCATCATTATGGTTAATGTGTATGTTAATGGATCCCCAAAGGTGAACATTAATATGCATTGTAGTTAGTATATTTGAATCTAATGTTAGTAAGTGATATGTATGACTCAAAGCATTAATGTTTTTTAAACGTTATTCCTCGCAGTACCTGTTGCCACACATTCCGTGTTCTCAGCTATTGCAGTTTTTAATGGGCTGAACTTCTCTGAATGGAAAGAGCAAATCCAATTTTACCTTGGGGTAATGGATATGGATATGGCTCTTAGAGAAGAGATATCTGGTGCTGTTACTCCTGAAAGCACTGAGGATGAAAGGAACCATTTTAAGAACTGGGAAAGATCCAACAGATTAAGTTTGATGTACATGAAAATGAGCATTGCAAGCAACATTAAGTCAGCTCTTCCACAAACTGAAAGTGCCATAGAAAGGATGAAGCTTATGGAAGAATGCTCCCAAACTGCTGATAAGTCTCTTGCTGGGACACTTATGAGTACACTGACCACCATGAAATTTGATGGTTTGCGTACTATGCATGAGCATGTTATTGATATGACAAGCATTGCGGCAAAATTGAAATCATTGGGAATGGCTGTGGATGAGAATTTCCTGGTGCAGTTCGTATTGAACTCATTACCGTCTGAGTATGGTCCTTTCCAAATGAACTATAATACATGAAAGATAAATGGAATGTGCATGAATTGCACAGTATGCTAGTTCAGGAGGAAACCAGACTCAAGAATCATGAAGCTCATTCCATCAATTATGTGAAGCATCAAGGAGCTGAAAAGAATAATGCTAAGAAGCATGAGAAGAAAGGAGGAGGATGAGGACCCCTTAAGATGAATGAGGCCTCTTCTTCTAAAATCCACAAAAAGGAAAATAATGCAAAGATGAGATGCCATTTCTGTAAAAAGGAAGGGCATTTCAAAAAGGATTGCCTGAAACGTAAGGCTTGGTTCGAAAAGAAAGGTAAGCCTAGTGCTGATGTATGTTA